GGATTTTTCGCCGACTCCCCTAGGTAAACAGTCAGTGGTCCACCAACCCGGATATCAGCTCGGAATGTTAACTAAAATTTGATAGAAACTCGGGTTTTTAATCAGTGGATGGNTGGACTCATTCCTCCTTTAAATAAAATGGCCTGTGTCCCCAAATCAACGATCAACAACAACAGGAAAGTAGGCGAGGATCTTTTCTATTTTAATAATACGTACTCAACAAGTGATAGCGATTTGTAAACTAAGAACGAAAGACTAGCTCATACTTCATGACCACGCAAGAACTTGCTGAGGAAATCCTTTGGTTTTTCCGGGACATTATCCCTGAAGTAGTCCATGAGTTGCGTATCTGACTTCCAAATGTGTGCCACTTCAATCAGTTCGTTCTGACCCTAAAAATTCATACTGCAATGGTAAAATGAGACACTTACGCGATGAATCAACAGATCAATGATACGCAGATCGGACACGTGTTTGTTTTTGTTGAATTCCTCGCGTAGCTTGGCATGCAAAATGGGAACAGTCACATTCGCTTGGCTGAATGCGTATTCCTTTACTATGAACGGTAGCTGTCTATACCAGGCCCGGTAGAGATTGAGTACGCGTCGTCTGGCCTCAGCGTGATTTAACGAAAGGATCGGTCGAACAGCTTTTACAGAAGACATGGCTGCAATGAACCCTGTAGAATACAGTTGAGAAAATAAGAGATGAAACAAATGTGCACCATGATACTGTTGACGATTCTGCTATTGTATGGATCACTATCACACTTGATCTATTGAGACCTAACGTAGTTCACGGCTCAAGTTCAGTTTTTAAAACCAATAACCATGCATCTGCGCGCAGTGGTTTTGGTTTCTCTCTGTAGGCTACCTATTTGCACAAGAGGAGAAGGAAGGTTGAAGTGTTGAGAGCAAAGTCGCCTCAGGATGATGGTTTTCAATTTTCCCCTTAATATATGCATATAACAGTACACAATCATGCTCGTGCTTTTCACTGAAAGAGCAAACACGAAATTAGCGCCCTCATCAACATTCGCAAGTCAAATCTCAACATTGATCAGGTATACTAATTTCTTCTTTTTCCTGTCGCTCCATCCTCGTCAGACACTACCTATCTTCAAGCCACAAACTATATGTATATATAGCTCACATAGGCTTGGGGACAACCATGGTGTCAACACAAGACTAATAATAATATTGGTGGGAAGGGGTACAGGCTAATGAAATGAAAATGGGAAAAACAGAGAACAAACGAATAACTTCCTGAGTTTCTCCATAGATATTTTGATGGTTATGGGGATAGGGCTTCAACGAGTAAAACAGAAATCGCGCCACGGGATTTCATTCTGAGCCATTACTCTCAGCGTACCTAGCCAACGGAAGTCCTCTTCCCTTGAGCCCCAACCTGAAAGGTGAGCTGCAACAACCGAAGCCAATGCTGAAACTTACCTCTGAACAAGTATTAAAAAGTTCGAATACAACTGAACGAATAAAAGTTTCACATCAGGTGTACCAATGACGCCGGTTTCAAGTCATGTTAACTGTTGTCTCAAGCTACAGATATTCTCTATCCTTGGGACCCCAACCTGGGAGTCCAGAACGTTCTACAACTGTCCGTTTTGAGGTTCAGTTTTTACAACCATTAACCATGCACTTTCATGTGCCGTTTTTGGTTGCTGTCTTTTGGTGTCCCATTTGGATGAGACAGCAGAATGAAGATAAGAATGATGAAAGCAAGACTATTACCAATAGCTGCATCCTTCTCCATCTCTCTACACTTCCCTACCCACCACTTCTCGCGATCATTCCTCAGACTCCTGGTAAGCTGGCGTTTAAGGGACTTGCGCACTTTGTCGTATTTTGCATCCGAAGGAATGGCTTTGCGAGCTTCCAGTAAGGCAACCGAGGTCGGGGAGATACATCGTTTTTTATTTGATCGTGCGCCAGAATTTACCGTTGCTTTGATCAACGTTTGGATTGCTTCCTTGATTGTCGTCCAGTGTTCACTGAGTCTTCCGGCTGATAGTTGAGTTGAGAGGCGATCCGCTTCGAAGGCCGATTTGCAACCGTCGCTGATACTGTATTGTGGGCATCCGTTTTCGATGGCTTTTCTGCGGTTGTTTATCAGGGGTAGGGAGAATTTCGCTCGTAGCAGAGCATGGTCCGTGTCCACGGGTATTGCCCAGTACGAACGGCAGTCCTCAATGGATTCACGCCAGCGGTGGCTGATGGCAATGCGATCGATTTGAGTCCAGCGCCGTGAAGAAGTTGGCGGTCTCTATATAAGTCGGNAAGTTGAAGTAAGTGTACTCTGTTGTCAGTCCGATTGGCAGGGATTGTATGCGGTCCGCCAAGTAGCCTTTCTCACTCGTCCAGTGATCCCGATTGAACAATAAAGTCCCCAGTGATCACCCCGATATCCGCTGACCGAGCACTTTGGAGCAGTTGAGAGAGGTCCTTGTAGAATTTATCCTTCATTTCTGGTGAACTGCGATCAGTTGGTGCATAGGTGGATACGAAGAACAAACATCGATGCTTCGTTCTGTAGCTGTTGATCCGTACTAAACCATTCAGACGTACAGCGCAAAGTCGGCTGCTAACCGGGATCCAGTCGAGAAGTGAACGCTCGGTCTTGACACTCAACACAATCCCAACACCGCGAACTTCGGATGACGAATTGCCTGACACACGGAGAGTGGAGCGTGACGATGAGTTTGTATCAGGAGAACGCAGGGAGATAATGAAAGTAGGATCTTGTACGCGTGTTTCGCAGACAATAAATCTAAATGGAAGGTTTCAAGGGTTCTAGTTAAAGCAGCTTATTGACCGATCTGATAGTATGCGGACATTGAGTGCCGCTAAGTGAAAAGGGGATTTTTGATTTCAAAAATCCCGTAGCCTCTGGGTGGTTGCCCT